GAGAGAGCGAGAACAAGGCCCAACTTGCTGCGCTGGCCCCTTTGGTTTGGGAGCTAGGGCTGTGGCGGGGTGTCCCCCCCGTGCCGTGTAGGCCCGTTCCCCTGCCCGGGAGGGAGAGCCCCACCGCTGCTCCCGTCTCCTCACGACGCGGTGTGCGAGCGGGGTGTGCCGGGGCCCACCTCGCCCCTCGGGCCTGCCTCCCCTTCCTGCCGCCTGTCCCGGGGTACTGGTGGGAGCTGCGGGCGGGGGCTCGGGGCTGCGGGGGAGGAGAGGTGCCTCCCTCCCCTCTCCCTGCCCCTGGGGGCCCGGGAGGGTCTGGGAGCTCTCTGTCCTCGCTTGTCACTGCAGCTGGGAGCCGGGCACAGGCCCTCACCCGAGGTGCACACCGCAGGGCCTGGCTGGGGCTGGGGGTGTCTCTGGTGTCTTTCAGTGGGTTGGGGTCAGTTTAACTCTGTTGGGCTCTTTTTCACGGAGTTTGCATTTAAACAATTTAATTTCTCTATTAAGTCACCCTGAATGGTTTTCTGTGCTACAAACCCAGTTAAGCGTTCTGGAGCGGCAGAGCACTTCGGCTCCGCAGCAGTACCACGCAAGGAGCTGCGTCTGTCGTGCTGACAGGCCCTGTGTCAGGACCGCTGGGAAGCCCCAGCCTTGGGGGGGAGTGTTTTGGGGGTGGCTTTGCTTTGGGTCCTCGCTCTCCTTTCTCATCGGCATCCTGGCAGGGTGGGCTGGCAAGCAGCGCAGAGGACTGGCAGCCCTGAACCCCAGCTCTGCTAACAGTGGCAGATTGCTTCAGCTCTTATTTTCGTTTCAGAATCAAATTATGCTCTGCAAACAGAAGACTGTGGTTTTGTGGTGAACTCCTCAGTGCTAAGTTTGTCTAGTCCCTGTCAGTCAGAGGTGTTTTGGTAGCCTAAGTGCCTGCAACACCTTTGATGTATTTCCCTTGGTGGGAACCTTGTGGGGCAGGACTGTGCTGTGCAGCTTACTCTGAAGAGGGTGAATTGAGGCCTGGAGAATTCATGTAAGGGTCATGGTTACAGCAGAGAGTTTAACGAAAGCTCTGGAGGCCTTGGCCAGTCCTGAACAACTCCTTTATGCTCCACATTCATACTGGGGGAGGGCAGCAGGAAAGCTCTTTTGACTTCTTGTTCATCAAATCAGACAAGCTTCTGTCTCTACAGATTCTTTTAAAGTTACAAGAAGTTGTAACAAACTGCTTACAACCTCCCAGAATGGCAGACCAGAAGCGCCTTGCCTATTCCATCATCCAGTTTCTACACGACCAGCTACAGAATGGGGGTCTGTCTCCAGATGCTCAGGAGAGTTTGGAAGGTAGGTGGTTCTGTACGCTTCCCTGTTCATGCGTCTAGGTCTGTCAGCCCCACGCTTGGGGAAATTTGGACGGTTACTGCCTTCTGCCTCTTACTTGGCTGGACTGTTCCTAATGTCGAACCTTGTTCAAGATTCGAAATGAATTTGTCTTCTTGGCGAGGTATCCAGGGCATTAGGGATGCTGATTGCTTGTGTGATTTCTTGTTATCTCTTTCAAAAGCAGATTAGCTTGAGGAAGGGATATACCTGGGATCAAAAGCCTCTCTGACCCTGGGTTTGAGACTTAGAAGTTTTATCTTAAATGAAGTGGAGGCAGGAGGCTCGTAGTGTAGTGTAAAATGAGAACTTTGTTGTTGTATGGAAGTGTTTTATGCCTGCAGAGTGCTTTTCCCGTTCTGCTATCAAAATGCTTTTCCACAACATGCCCTGGAGTATTTATATGGGGTTTTTCAGAGGGCTCCACTGGTAATGAGAGCACACTGATCTTAAAAGATCTACTTAAGGAGCTTACACTTTAGTCTTTGGCTTGTACATTTGTCCCACTGAAAGAGAGTGCAGGCACGTCTGCAGAGTGCTGGGTACATTCCTGGGTGAGGCAGGAACGAGAGAGGGCGGGAGGAGGGTGTTGGGTGGAAAGAGGAATTTATTCCTGGTGCTTTTTGGACTGTAAAATACGACACGAGAGTTTTGTAAAACTGAGCTCTGTTTTGTTACTGGGGTTCCCCTCTTTGCTGGGAGCAGCTTCCCAACCAGGTGCCTGGTGAGGGAGGTGGGGGGGGCAGCCGCAGCCTCCGCAGGACCCGCTGCTGCCATCCGTGCACCTCTGCGTGGCCACAGCGCTTCACAGAGCAGCCACCCTCTGACAAGGGACGGCTTTCTGAAACATGCAGATCTCTCCTTGCTCTTTGCCACCCACAGCTGTGGGAAGGCTACTAAAGCCCCAGTTTGATTAACTTCTACCCGCAGCATCTGCTCTGGAGTCGCCTGAGGTGGTTGTGACTGACTTGATTCAGGAACTTGCTCTCCAGAGCTAAGGTTTTCCCAGCTCTGAGGTTTTGGCAAAATTTGAGGATAAGGCCCAAATATCGAGTCTGGTGTGTGGAATTGCCTGGTTTAGGGTGGTTTTTTTTCTTTCCTAATATGTTCAAAGGTAAGAAATTCAGGTGCTGTGGGGGAAGTCTTAAGTATTTAGACAGAGTGGGGAAAGCTAATTACCTGACTCTTCTTGTCCAGTGGCCATCCAGTGTCTGGAGACAGCATTTGGGGTCTCAATGGAAGACCAAGGCCTAGCCGTGTCCCAGACTCTTCCTGAAATATTTGAAGCTGCCGCAGGAAAGGTGAGCGAGTGCCCTAAAATATGTGCTGAGTTTCTACTTAAGCAGCCAAAGCAATGAGCTCTGCTTGATTTCTGTGGCGATGCTGCCCCCTCGGAGCTGTGTAGGAGTGAAAAGTTTTGGGCTTGACAAGCCAGCGCTTGGGAAGGGGGAGGTGTAGTACATCTCAGGGGGAGTCCTTATTGCAGCGTTCTCCCTTTCCTTGTAAGGAGCCTGAGCACATCAGAACAAATTCGGAGCCCATCACTCCCTCTGAAGACGACATAGCTGAAGCTGAAAGACTCAAGACTGAAGGTAACCTCCTCTGGAGCTGGCGTATAATGAGGTTTATGTGGTAATGAGGAAGGAGGTTTAATTCATTCAGTACCTGGGGAATGCTTGGAATGGGGGGGAAAAAAAAAAGCAAATGGGATCAACCCTTCCATTTCTGCTTGTTTCTCTGCTTGTGCTCCAGGAACGTGTGTAGGTTGGCATAATTTAGCTGCCACACAGCCTAGATAGACAGCTGGGTCAGCACTTTCTTTTGCATCCTAAGAAGCCCGCGCTGTGTAGAACAGGGCATCTTTCCTGTTGAGCTCTCCTCTGTGTGTTGCCTTTTCTCTGCCACGCAAGAGAGCGTGATTAGTGTGGAAGTACAACGGAGAGCTTTCTCTGAGCCAACACATTGCAGTGCTGCTTTGGGGAGGCCTCAGGTGTGCCCCGGGGTGGGAGGACAGCTGAGGGTGCTCGGGGAGCTTGCAGGATCAGGCAACCTGGAACTGCCAAGATGCAGGTCCCCTGCCTTGCTGCTTGAACCTGCCCCACTTGCAAGCAGTGCAAGTGGTTGGTTTCTCTCTTGTTCTATTTTCTTAAGTAGAACATAGATCCAGGCCTGTTGCTTTTGTTTGTCCCCGTTTTTCACTTGTTAATGAGCCTTTCCGCCATCTTTTTAGGAAATGAACAAATGAAGGCAGAAAACTTTGAAGCTGCTGTGTCTTTCTATGGAAAAGCAATTGAATTAAATCCATCCAATGCTGTGTATTTCTGCAACAGGTACTGATTATCTCTTTCTCCACCCTTGTACACCTGTGTTTTTGTTCCTACTACTTGAATCTAAGACCCTTGAAAGGTCAAAATCTCTCTTTTATGATTCTGTAGACTGCTTGTTCTGTTGCTTGCTCTGTGTGTGGTTTTTTTTAAAGCTCATAGTGACACACTTTCCTGTGCCTCCTGCCAGCTCTGTGCCCTGGCATCTCTAGATAGGATGTGGGTGTGGAAACAAACTCTATTAGGCATTTGAGGAGATAGAAGGATGCCAAGAAATACTGTCTGCTTTCATGCAATTAACTCTAAGTGGGCTAGAGAGCCCAGGTTTGAGAGGCTGTGTTGATAATAAAACAAAGGAGTGAAATGAGACAAGTTGAAGGCTCATTATCGAGAACTGATGTGTGTGCAAAATTGGGTATGCAAGTGAATTTCCTATTTTTCAGTTCGAGGCAAAAGTGTTTGAAAGTTGGTGGGAAGACAATTGTTGAATAAAACAGACTTTGAACCAGGATTTGTTCTAGTTATCTGCTTATCATGGGTACATACATACAGCTGGCTACGTGAATAACATGTCTGCACACATGCTAATGACATGGTGAGGTATTTCCTGGGGCAAGGAGCTCCAGCTGGTGCTTTTAGGGAAGCTTTGCTTTAGCTGCATGAGGGTCAGTCCCGTGAGGTTTTGGGCAGGTGCCCCTCGATAAGAGTTGTGAGATTGAGGCTTGAATGAGCGTATGATGGCTTCAAAACCAATGTTCCCTCTTCTGTGGAGTGTGTGGGGAAATGGATGAAACAGTTACTATGACTAAGAAACCAAGGCATAAGGGAAGCTGAGAGACTGTCTGAGCTAGCAAGTGTGATACTTGTGTGCCTCCTCGGAGCCCAGGCTCCTCCTGGAAAGTCCATAAGGAGGAGTAAGAGCCTCGATTTGTTTGCAGTAGGAGCAGAACGTGAAGTTGGGTGTTTGGATAGCAGCCTGCTCCACCTAGATATGGCCTGGATTTATGTCAGGTTCACACTTGACTTTGCCTTGTACAACAGGAGACTACAGAGCGGGAACAGGGGTGACCTTGATCAGCATATCCAAGCTGATAACTGATTTCTGCACATCTTTCTCCGTTCCCTCCAGAGCTGCTGCATACAGTAAACTAGGAAACTATGCCGGAGCAGTGAGAGACTGTGAAAGAGCTATAGGCATTGATCCAAACTACAGCAAAGCTTACGGCAGAATGGGGTAAGTAAGAGCAGGTTTTTTTGTGCTAGAATTTTAATCTCAAAACACCTAGTGGCAGTGATGCTATCAGTGGTGTTCTGCCCGGGAATGCCGTGTGAAAATACCTAGCGTTTCACCTCTGCTGGGGGTGGAGGAAGATTGCAAGTGCTTATCTAACTCTAACTTTTAATTTTATTTCCACTTTAATAGCTTGGCCCTCTCCAGTTTAAATAAACACACAGAAGCTGTCGTTTACTACAAAAAAGCCCTGGAGCTGGATCCAGACAACGACACATACAAATCGAACCTTAAAATAGCTGAACAGAAAATGAAGGAGACTCCTAGTCCAGTAAGTTCTGAAACTAGTACTTGTTATACATGGGTAAGATTAGAAGGCGGCTTCTTCATTGTAAGCGCTAATAGGCGCTGCCTGGCAGAGCCGTGCTGACCTGGGCTGTGTTCAGAATGCAAATCCTGTGTGCAGACAGAGGGGAGATAGTTAACGAGCCCTGCTGTGAACATTTCCACTGAAATCCAGAGAGGGTAACTTCTCTTCACTGCTTGAGCACAGTCACCTTGGGCTTATTTGAAAGAGCTGGAAAATGAGACTGATTAAAAAGGAGTGTTTTGAAATGGTGATTTTGCCTTAAGCACCTTTCTTAATTAAATCACTACTCCTAAAATCTAGCTTTTTTTTTTTTTTCCTAGTGACCTGTTAGCAATACTAAAAGGGCATTTTAGGTGACTTGTTTCTTACAAAGATTTTTCTTAAGACAACTGGAGGTTTCCTAGCCAGAAAGCTGGTGTCATTTTGAAGGGGATTTTAATTTTCTAAAGACTTCTCTGGTGCAAAGGTGACCAAGTGGATGTGTTTAACTTGGCGGTTGTAACTGGTTACAGCTGTACATTGCTAACGGGGCTCAGCTGGTGACAGGGGTGATCAGTAAGTCATGTAATGCAGATATCTGCCCTTTGACCCCCTCAGTGAGGCCAATCCCCTGAGGCTGGCTGTGAGTTACGGACAGGGTATGGACAGAGCCTCTTCCCTTTGTTGTGGTTTAAAGGCCAGATTCTGACAACAACTGGGAGTAAAATATTAAAATAATGTTCATTGTAATGTGGAAGTGAGAGGATGTCATCATCTGCATCTGTCGTCTTTATTCTTACAGACCGGAGGTCCAGGAGGATTCGATTTAGCTGGCTTGCTGAACAACCCTGGCTTCATGAGTATGGTAAATGCGGGGACAGATCATAGCCAGGCTGTAACTGGTCTGTGCATTGGTCTGTTCAGGATGAAATGTATCGGTTCATGGCGTGGGGAGCTCCTCTGTCTCTTTAGCAGATTTGTTTTCGTTTCTCGGTTTCAGTGTTGCTGTGAGGAAACTGTGCTTGTATTTCATTAAGGTCAAATAAGAAGCCAGTCACTTACTCACAGGCTTCTCCTTGCGCTGTGCTGGATGTGGAAAGGGTGCCTGTTCTGCATTACCAGCCTTGTCTCGTGTGTTGCACTGTGCTTCTCTTGGCTATTTTTGTCCTATTGATCTGTTTCCAAGTATTTCTGCCTTCACTTTGTTTGTAGTTGAATGGCACAGCATCTGCATATCTACCCAGTCATTTCTGACTAAATAGGGTGTCATTTTTTTTTCTCCCCTCTTTAAATAGGCATCTAACCTAATGAACAATCCACAAGTACAACAGCTGTAAGTTTGATCTCATCTTGTATTTCCTCTTTGAATCGCTCATTTGAGGCTCTGTCTGTGTTTGATGTTTGCAGTAGGTCTGAACCGGTGGGGAGGGGGAGTGTGCTTGGGCCAGAAATATGGAGAGCAGCCTTTAAACCAGCTGCCTGAGCGAGTGTGCATTTTGAGTACTCTGGAGTGTGCTGAAGGGGGATCTTGGTATAAACATTTGCAGAAGGGAGGCAGGATAGATCGTGGCGCTGGAATTGGGTTTGGGAAGCTTGGGCTCAGTTTGGCTCTGCTGTACAGTATTTATGTGACCTGGAGACAGGATTTTGCAGCTCCATCACTGTTAGAATGAGAATATTTCCATTCTTAGTGCTACAGGGTTATGAGGATCAATTCACAATGTTTGTGAGATGCTTAGAATATATAAAGTCATAAAACTAATAAGGCACGTACCTCTCCTGACCATCCTTTCAGAGCACAGGTAGGCAGTGAGCTGGAGACTTTCTGGAGCTCATCCTGTGATTACCATATGACATAATTTGGCTAAAGGGCTGAACGTCAGACGCCGTTTCCATTTGCTTCTGCCTGCTCCTTCCACGGCTGTTGCCAGCTGCAGTTCTGCACCAGATGCAGCCTGAGGGCTTCCAGAGGAGAAGGGGCTGTGCGTTCTGGGCTGTTCCCCACGCGGGGATCAGTGTTCAGGCTGACCTGTCTGTCGATCTCTTTTGATGCAGAGCAAGCAAATAGCTTGTGTGAGGAAGGGCAGTGTTTTAAATAAACATAATGCAGAGCTTTCACACAAAAGGGGGAATCTCTGGGAATATGGGAAGTGACACTATTGTAAATATTTCTCCATATTGTGCAATTTAATTTTACAGTTACTTTTCTGCAGTTAATGAACGAAAAGTTCTTGCAGAAGATTCCCTTGCAGTTAACTTCATCTGTGGGGGAAGGTGCTCCCATTACACTGGTGCTCCCCTCCCAGTGTAAACCAAACGGTTTCTGTGGTTTTTTTGTCCTGCTGTGACAATGACTGTTATTTCCACAGCATGTCCGGGATGATTTCTGGTGGCCACAACGCCATGGGAGCAGCAGGCACCAGCCCCTCCACAAACGATCTCGCCAGCCTCATACAAGCGTGAGTAGAGAGCTGGGGCTTTCCCATTGCCTGGGTCAGTAAATGGATTTGGGTTTTTTTCTGACCAGAAGTTGAATCTTAAATTTAACAGTTGAGGAAGGCTTAAATGTTGGGTGAAGCAGTGCCTCTTTTGGTGACGTGAGCTACTTGCCAGAGTGGAGTTTTGACAATCACCCGTAAAAGAATTTTCTAGCACCAGACCGTGTTAGAGTGTGTCTGGGAACACTAATAGGCCTGTTGCTTGTTCTCCTTCAGAGGCCAGCAGTTTGCTCAGCAGATGCAGCAGCAGAATCCTGAACTAATAGAGCAGCTACGAAGCCAGATTAGGAGTCGAACTCCAAGTGCCAGTAACGAAGATCAGCAGGACTGAGCACTCCAGGTGAGGCTGTCGCCGGGACTGCTGCTGTACTGGGGCCAGCTGAGTGGGAAATTGTGTACTTGGCTGCAGTATCTGTCTTGTGCCTTAATTTAGCAATTTGATGTGTGTCCCCTCCGTACAGACTGGGTTCTCTGCACCAGTACAGCCAGTACTGAGCCTCAGATGCAAGGCCCAGTCCTGAGGAGTGGTGAATAAGAGCTACCCTCACATTGTGTGGCTGAAAAAAGGAGTTCCATTGTCTAGTGTTCACAGTGGTTAAAGTGACACTTTATTTTCTTAAAGATTGAATTTCCAAATGTCTTGTCTTCCTGTCTCTGCAGCGCAGTCCGTGGGAACTATGTTCTTTGCTTTAAAAACTGGAAGCCATGTGCGTGTTGCCATTTCTTGAGTTGGAAGTGTCCAAGAGGGGGAAAAAAATAATGGAAAAACAAAATACTTTATATGACCTGCATGTTAAAGACAGATTCACGCTTTCTCTCCCTAGTCTTCGTCCCTGCTCCTCTCCCTCAGCCTTTCCATTAAGTCTTTTTTTCTTCTGGAAGATCCAGCAAGCTGAACACAAACCAGCATCGACAGTCTTTCTAAAGAAACTCAGAAAATTAATTACACTGTTACATTTCTATGTTATTTGCTACATGGGAATTTTTTTAACCCGTTTTTGAGGAACGATGCACTCTTCACTACAGGATGTCTTCACTTTCCTGCCCACGTGCCACTTCAAAGAAGTGTTCAAGTCCTACCTAACCCCTGTCCTGCCCCGTTTAATCTTCCTGCCTGTTACGAGACGGTAGTGTTTGAACCCGCTGGAGATCACGGGATCTTCTTGCCTCCAGGAACGGGGTTTCTGTTGATTAGATTCACTGCGTTTCTCATTCAGGTCTGTAGCAACATTGCCAGCGTTGTTAATCCACGGGAGTTTGGTGGTCGCCTCTCCAAGGTTAGTGTAAATGTGTTGGAGTTGGGACTGGCTGGGTGGAATGTGCCCGTGTGCGACTGCTCCTGCAGCGAGTGTTTCCTGGGACGCTGCTTGGGCTTCTTTCCCAGTCCTGACAAAATTTGTCTAGTGTTTAGTAATTATGGCTATGTTGTTGGAATGATCCAATCCGTGAACTAGTCAGGTGGACTGTAAGAAAGATACGATGTTTTTGGTGTTTAAAAGGGTTGGGTTTTTTTCTTCTGCTTTTTTAATCTGTCTTTTATGCATGTAAGTAATCAACTTGGTTGAGTGTGCTATGGTAGGAACAGAGGGTGCCTGAGTAGAGAGCAGGACTGAAAATGCTGCTTGGATAGTCAGAAATCAAGTGGCTGCCGGTTCAACATGGGGGTTGGCGAGGAGCGGTTATGCCTCAGCACATCGTGTGTGAGATGAAGGGGAAAAAGCTCCTGTAGCCAACGTGAGTGACCCGCAGCTTTCCCCCCTGCCCCGAGTTACCCGTGTCCTTCCTTAGGCCAGCAGAAAGCAAAAAGAACTCTGACCGGTTCCCCTAGAAGTCACTTAGTTGAGGCCAGAGACTTTTATATCGACCTCAGAATTGTTTTTAATGTAGTTACTCGATTGTGGTGGGGAAGGCGTGTTCATGGCCTGGCGGCTGTGCAAAAAGCATTTGCTCTGTAGGCGGGTGTGAGATGGAAAACGCCCTTTCGGGAAACCTGGTGGTGTGAGTGAGCAGGTATAGCTGAAGATTAATATCAAGGAAAAAAAAAAAAAAGATTTGTAAATGCTCCATAAAGTAATATGTGGTTAATGTAACTTGTGAAGAATAAAATATTTGGACACTTTTCTTTGTTATGCCTCTTGCCCGGGATGGCTGACGCAAGGCCGGCACGCGGGGCTGCGGTGGCTTGTGCGGGGTCAGCAGCCCCGGGGCTGCTGCGGGCAATGGTGGCTTCGATCTGCCTCCGCCGGGCATTCCCCCTTTCCTGCTGCACTGCTCCTCCTGCCTTCTGCAGCACAGAAATCGGAAACCTTTTCTTCCCATTTCTGCTTCCCCCCTCCCTTTACATTCTCTCCAGCTGTTTTCTGTAACTTGATAAAAGAAGACTGTAGGGCAGTGTGGAAAGAAAAAGTTCAAGAATTGTCCAAAAGGAGGAAACTGCAGGGAGCTTTCCTCCCTTTTCAGCTAATTTCATTCCTCTTTCCTTTCCTTTCTTGCCCCTCTACTCTGCTGTGGTGTAGACCCTGCCTGCAGTGCTGCCTCCAGCTTTGGAGCCCCCAACATGGGAAAGACACGGAGCTGTTGGAGCGGGGCCAGAGGAGGCCCCGGAGATGCTGGGAGGGCTGGAGCCCCTCTGCTGGGAGGACAGGCTGGGAGAGGTGGGGGGGTTCAGCCTGGAGAAGAGAAGGCGAAAAAGGGGAGACCTCAGAGCCCCTTCCAGTGCCTAAAGGGGCTCCAGGAGAGCTGGGGAGGGACTCTGGATCAGGGAGGGGAGTGATGGGACGAGGGGGAACGGTTTGACACTGAAAGAGGGGAGATTGAGACGAGATCTCTAGAAGAAATTCTCTCCTGTGGGGGCGGTGAGCCCCTGGGGCAGGTCGCCCCGAGAAGCTGTGGCTGCCCCATCCCTGGAGGTGTTCAAGGCCAGGTTGGACGGGGCTTGGAGCAACCTGGGCTGGGGGGGGGTGTCCCTGCCCAGGGCAGGGGGTGGCACTGGGTGACCTTTAAGGTCCCTTCCAACCCAAAGCAGTCTGTGATCCCTTACCCTGCTTGTTCTCTTTGTAGCTGTGGATCTATGTTTTCATGGCTCTTGGTGGTTTTCTTACACGCCCGTGTTCGAGGTGCGGCTCTCGGGGGGTGCGAAGAAGCGTTCCCGCCCTTGCGAGGCGGGGGCCGGGCCTCGGCGGACGGGCCGGACCCCTCC